GAGACATACAGAGGGTTTCCATCCACTTTTGGTTCACTCCCCAAACTCCCGTGACAGCCAAGGAACTCAGGCCATGTCTCTCATGTGGGTGCTAGGAACCTGAGGCTAGGTGACTTGAGGCATCACCACTGTTCCTCAGCTTCTGCATCAGGAGGCGGCTGGAGTTAGGAATCGTCCCAGGCAGTGCACTGTGGGACGCGGGCGTCTTCACTGACAGGCCATGCGCCCACCACAGTCTCAATCTTGGGCCATCTTTTCTTTATAGCTTCTCATCTTTAACACTGAAAAGCCTCCCTGACCAAGGACTGTGCAGTTTCCTACATTTCTTTGTAGGAATTTTCTTGATCTGGAATTCATCTTTATACATAAAACATATGGTACAATTTTTGTTTTTTTACAAACAAACATAGTTCAGTAGCATGACTTCAACCATCCTTCGTCTACTGAAAGGAACTGATTAGCAGGCTAACTCCTCATGCTGGATTTTACTCCTGGATTCTCTCTTCTCCTCGTTATGTCAACACCATGGTGACTGGATCATTATGGCTTCACTCAGTCTACATTTCTCATCCACTGTTCCTAGTCACAAAAGCCACAACTAGTGTTTGGGTATTCGTGTAGGTCAGTGGCATGAAGACACATCAACCTTTATTTCTACCACTGGATATGAAAACTGATCCACATTTCCCTGGGGAAATATTCACGTGTCTGATTATGATACGCTGCTCCCACTCCTGGACTGGGGGACTGCATACAACGTACAGTACAGGCACTGGACCGCTTCCCTGAAATCCAGAAGCACACATGGCCCCAACGGGTCCAAAACAAGGTTGTGAATTTGAATTCTAATTTGTATCTAATATGCCAACCACTTCATCTGTATTACCTTTGTAAAAAATGCTAACAACCCCTATGAGTTAAGAAGAATTCTCCTCAGGGTGGCGCTGTGGCATAGCGGATAAAGTAGCCACCTGCAGTACCAGCATCCCGATACGGATGCTGGTTCAAGTCCTGGCTGCTCCATTTCCAATCCAGCTCCCTGCTATGGCCTGGGAAAGCAGTAGAAGATGGCCAAAGTCCTTGAGCCCCTGCACCCACGTGGGAGACCTAGAAGCTCCTGGCTTCGAATCAGTGTAGCTCCATCCATTGCAGCATTTGGGGAGTGAACCAGCAAATGGAAGACCTCTCTCTCTCTTTGCCTGTGTCTCTCTGTAACTCTGAGTTTCACATAAATAAAATATTTCAAAAAAAAAAAAAAAAAAAAGAATTATCCTCCTTTACAGATAAGAAAAATTAGGTTACAACTCAGTGACTCATCCAAGGACGCACTGCTGGAGTTGGGAGTGGGGGAAACCAGATTCAAACCCACATCTGCCTGACTCCAGAGCCCTTGCCCTTAACCATGCACTTGGAAGGATGTATCTGGTGGCTCTGCACATTCCTACTCAACACAATGGTTACTGTGTTACAAAGACCAACCAGGAAGGCTGCACAAATTTCTGCCCATCTGAGAATCTGACCAACACCCTGGGCAAGAGCTGAGAACACAACAGGCTCTCAGAGAGACGGCAGACACTCAATATATGATAGCCATCATCACTCCCATGACATTTCCTTTTTTTAAAAAGATTTTATTTATTTATTTGAAAGACAGAGTTACAGAGAGCAGATGGAGAGAGATGGAGAGAGATGGAGAAAGAGAGAGATGTCTTTCATCCACTGGTTCACTCCCCAGTTGGTCGAAATGGCTGGGGCTGCATTGATCCAAAGCCAGGAGCCTGGAGCTTCTTTTGGGTCTCCCATGTGGGTGCAGGGGCCCAAGGACTTGGGCCATCTTCTACTGCTTTCCCAGGCCATAGCAGAGAGCTGGATCAGAAGTAGGGCAGCCAGTACCCATATGGGATGCCGGCACGGCAGGTGGCAGCTTTACCCACTATGCCACAGCGCCAACCCCATGACATTTCTGAAACATCAATTCTTATCTCTCCACTTTCTTCCCACTACCTCTTATTATCCTTTATGAACTCAAGCCATCGCCTCCTCAGGAAGCCTTCCCTGGGCTGGAGTTGTGGCACAGCAGTTTAAGTCGCCACCTGCAATGCTGTCATCCCATGCAAACACTGGTTTGAGGAGCTGGCACTGTGGTGGTAAAGCAGTCACCTGCAGGGCTGGCATCCTATATGGGTGCCAGTTCGAGTCCTGGCTGCTCCACTTTCAGTCCAGCTCCCTAATGATGTGCCTAGGAAAGCAGAAGATGGCCCAAGTCCTTGGGCCCCTGCACCCACATGGGAGACCTGGAGGAAGCTCCTGGCTTCGGATTGGCACAGCTCCAGCCATTGCAGCCATTTGGGGAGTGAACCAGTGGATGGCTCTGCCTCTGTAACTCTGCCTTTCAAATAAATAAGTAAATCTAAAAACAAAAAAAAATAAAAAAACAATTTGAGTTCTGGCTAATGCTTTAGAAATGGCTGAAGTACTTGGACTCCTGCCACAAGGGACACCCAGATGGAGTTCTGGGCTTAGCCCAGACACGGCTGCCGTAGCCATACAGGGAGTGAACCAGCAGGTGGAAGATCTCACCCCCTCTATGTAACTGCCTTTCAAATAAATAATTAAAAAAAAAAACCTTTCCTGGGGTCCCAACCTAGGTTAACCCTTGTTTATATTCCCAGAACTTCCATTCTATAATCCACTTTTTTTTTTTTTTTTAACAGCTACAAGAAACATGGAAACAAAGACCATGGCTGCACTCACTCCAGTAACCCCTAGGGGTACAGCGCAGGCCCTGACACGGCAATTGTTCAGTGTTTCATGAACATTTGTTGCACAAACGAATGCTAATGCTGTGAGGCAGCCCAGCCCAGAGGTGCTCGTGCTAACACAGAAACAATATTTGAGCTAGGAGTCTACGTTCTGCCCCATGAATACTGAAAGGACAGGGAACTGGTGGGAATCTGGGCAGGTCACACAGCCACACCAAGACCCTGGGATTCCTCCTCCCAGGCTGATGGGTGACACAGGAGCCTCAGAGCTTCAGGACCTTACCAAGCACGCTGCTTGCTGGAACCAAAGCCTCAGGAGGCAGTCTGCACAAAGCCTCCTTCCTATTACAACGTACTGAAGTTTAAGTGAAAACAAACATTAAGAGTAAAATCAGGGGTCAAGTGCTGTAGCATTGCAGGTAAAGCCACAGCCGGTAGCACCAATGCCCATATGAGTACCAGTTTGAGTCCTGGCTGCTCCACTTCTGATTCAGCTCCCTGCTAATGTGCCTAGGAAAGACTGGGCACCTGCACCCACTTGGAAGACCTGGATAAAGCATCTGGCTCCTGGCTTTGGAATGGCCCAGCTCTGGCCATTGCGGCCATTTTGGGGAGTGAACCAGCAGATGAAAGATCTCTCTCTTCCTCTTTAACTCTGCCTTTCAAATAAATAAATCTTGATTTCTAAAGAAAAAAATTAAAATCATAGTTCAGTGAGGGACCAGCCTCATGATTATCAACCTTCATAAACATAATTACAACCTAAGGAGTCAGAAAGTTCAAGGTCTCAGAACCACTGCTACAAAATGCAGTTTCCAGGGGCTGGCACTGTGGCATAGGAGGTTAAGCCTCTGCCCATGGCGCTGGTATCCCATATGGGCACCAGTTTGTGTCCCAGCTGCTCCTATTCCAATCCAGCTCTCTGTTATGGCCTGGGAAAGCAGTGGAAGATGGTCCAAGTCCTTGGGATCCTGCACCTACATGGGAGACCTGGGCAAAGCTCCTGGCTCCTGGCTTCAAATGGGCCCAGTTCTGTTCATTGCAACCATTTGGGAAGTGAACCAGCAGATGGAAGACTACTCTGTCTCTCCTCTGTCTATAACTCTACCTCTCATATAAATAAAAATATTTAAAAAAAAAATGCAGTCTCCAAATCCTTGAACTCTGGGTTATAACATCTGGGAAGACATGGATTGTCAGGGTCCGAGATGTCCTCAATTTCTTTTCTTTTTTACTCTAAAGATTTACTCATTAATTTGAAATGCAGAGTGACAGACAGGAAAAGCCAAGAACTCCATCCTGATCTCCCATGTGGGTGGTAGCAACCCAAGCACTTGGGCCATCATCTGCTGCCTCCCAGGCACATTAGCAGGAAGTTAGATTAGAAGCATACAGTCACCAGGACTCCATTGGACACTGATATGGAATGCAGGTGTCCCTACTGACAGCTTAACCTGCTATACCACAACGTGGAGCCCAAGAGTTTTCCTAAATTTGTCTTCTTTTTTTTTTTTTCCTTTGACAGGCAGAGTTAGTGAGAAAGAGAGACAGAGAGAAAGGTCTTCCTTCTGTTGGTTCACCCCCCAAATGGCCACCATGGCTGGCGCTGCACCGATCTGAAGCCAGGAGCCAGGTGCTTCCTCCTGGTCTCCCATGCGGGTGCAGGGCCCAAGCACCTAAGCCATACTCCACTGCCTTCCTGGGCCACAGCAGAGAGCTGGATTGGAAGAGGAGCAACCAGGACTAGAACCCGGGGTGCCAGTGCCGTAGGCAGAGGATTAGCCTAGTGAGCCACGGGTGCTGGCCCTAAATTTGTCTTCTATGCCTCCATTCTTAACTTTTGCCCACTCTCACCTCCCAGCTAGGTAATTTAGTTAAAACCTGCTTAGTGGACAAGGAACCAAGCAGCAGGTGCCAGGGGAGGAACAGACAGGCCTGGTTCTCCCACCACTCAGCTCAAGACTTCAGACAAGGTGTACAACATCCCTGAGTCAATGTGCTCATCTGAAAAACAGGGACATCTAACACTGCCCCTCTCATGGACCCGCTGCAGAATCTGGGACCATCAAGTGGACGAAGCAGCAGCAAGGAGTGGGGCTTTCAGAAAGGACGCTGCTGCCTCCCCAGCCCTCGCCACTGGCACTGCACGTCTGCTGCAGGTCATTCCGCCCGAGAAGGCCTGCTGAGCCTTCCTCCTGAAGAGACAGGCCCGCCAGGGACCGAGTGCCCGACACTCACCTTCTCCGCCATCCCCTCTTCTCCACCAATGAAAAAGTCTGTTTTACGTCGAAGGAAGCTGAAGAAGGTGTTCACAAGCTGAAAGACAGGGGGCATAGTCTGAGGTTACGGAGACATCGTGCAGGGAGCAAGGGCACAGGAGACAATTTCCTTAGTGCAGGAGGGGACCTGGGCCTCTACACGGAGGAGAGACCCTTCCTTGAGGGCCCCCTTTGTCACTTCCGCCAGAAAGCCCATCCCAGTCTCATCCAGACCACCTGAAAGACAGGCTTCTCATTTCTCATGTGCGTGCAGGCACGTCTCACATTCCCTGTGTGCCAAAACAGCCCGAGAATGTGGAACACGCTCCTGCAGTTGGCGTGAACTGTCTGGTGCCCGGGTCCAGCTTTCCTCTCCAAGAGGTGAAAAGCCCATTAACCCCACCAGCTGGGGTTGGCACTGTGGCGCAGTGATGCCCAGAGTCCCATGTGGGCGTCAGTTCATGTTCCAGCTGCTCCACTTCTATCCAGCTCCCCGCTACTGGCTGGGAAAGCAGCGCAAGATGGCCCAAGTGCTGAGGCCCTGCCACGCCTGTGGGAGACCCAGAAGTTCCCACTCCTGGCTTCAGCCACCAGGGCCATCTGGGGAGTAAACCAGAGGTCAGAAGATCTCTCTTTCTCTTCCTCTCTCTAACTCGGACTTTCAAATAAATAACTAAGTCTTTAAAAATAAATAAAAAGCCACTGCCTAAGTAAGCAGGGCACAGCCAAAAAGGGAACAAATGAAGCTACTTCAGTGCAGGCTGAGAGGGACTGACACTGGGAGGGCCCGAATGTAACCAAGCAGGAAAAAGCATGGGGTCAAGCATCAGCGTTGACATGCGAGGATAATGGAAAAACAGATAATGTCGGTATAAGAAAAACTGAAATCCGGCCGGCGCCGTGGCTCACTTGGCTAATCCTCCACGTGAGGCGCCAGAGCCTGGGTTCTAGTCCCGGTTGCCCCTCTTCCAGGCCAGTTCTCTGCTGTGGCCCGGGAGGGCAGTGGAGGATGGCCCAAGTGCTTGGGTCCCTGCACCCCATGGGAGACCAGGAGGATGCACCCGGCTCCTGGCTTCAGATCGGTCCAGCACCGGCCGTAGCGGCCATTAGGAGAGTGAACCAACGGAAGGAAGACCTTTCTCTCTGTCTCTGTCTCTAACTGTCTCTTTCTAACTCTGTCAAAAAAAATTTAAAAAAGAAAAAAAACTGAAATCGATACATAATTTCTTCATTATACACATTTCTCATAAACCTTTTGAAGATTCTTTGTGTATTAGCCTTGGAACCTTGGGGAAGTTTCCCAATTCTATAGCTGCAGGATTTATTTCTAGGGACATTGTGAAGATTAAACAAGATCATGGAGGTGAGGCCCTTAGCAGTGTCTGGCACACAGCAGAGACCCACCCTCATGAGCAGGAATGTGAACCACATTGTCCACATCCACAGCTTGGGCACCAGGTACCGTTCGGAGTAGAAACAGTCCCTGATGCAATTTTGCAACTTATGATGGTGCAAAAGCGATAAGCATGTGGGAGAAACAGTACTTCAAGCTTCTGATTTCTTCCCAGGCAAGTGATAAGAGGCTGAATGATGGGTGCCAGTGCTGACATAGTGGGTGAAGCCACCACCTGCAGTGTCAGCATCCCATGTGGGCGCCGGTTCTAGTCCCAGCTGCCCCTCTTCTGATCCAGCTCTCTGCTAAGGCCTGGGAATGCGGTAAAAGATGGCCCAAGTGCTTGGGCCCCTGCACCTAGGTGGGAGACCCAGAAGAAGCTCCTGGCTTTGGATCAGCCCAGCTCTGGTCATTGCAGACATTTGGGGAGTGAACCAGCAGATGGAAGACCTCTCTCTGTCTCTCACTCTCTCTGTAACTCCCTCTCTTAAGTAAATAAAACTCTTTAACAAGAAAAAAAAAAAAAAAAAAGCTGAATGATGCTTTCATGATGCTGGCCAGCAGCAGCAAGCTGTAGCCCATGGTGAGCCTGGCCACCACCAAGGGCAAGAAGCAATACTGCAGGTGCACTGTGTTGCTAAGCTACAACCTTCAGCTGGCTAGGCACAGTAAATACATTTTCAACTTACAATGTTTACCCAGATGCAATGCCATCCTAAGTCAAGAAGCAGTTAGGCCGGCGCCGTGGCTCAACAGGCTAATCCTCCGCCTTGCGGCGTCAGCACAACGGGTTCTAGTCCCGGTCGGGGCGCCGGATTCTGTCCCGGTTGCCCCTCTTCCAGGCCAGCTCTCTGCTGTGGCACGGGAGGGCAGTGGAGGATGGCCCAAGTGCTTGGGCCCTGCACCCCATGGGAGACCAGGATAAGTACCTGGCTCCTGCCATCGGATCAGCGCGGTGTGCCGGCCGCAGCGTGCTGGCCACGACAGCCAAAGGAAGACCTTTCTCTCTGTCTCTCTCACTGTCCACTCTGCCTGTCAAAAAAAAAAAAAAAAAGAAGAAGAAGAAAGAAGCAGCTGTATGTGCTCGGTAAAGCTCCTCCTGAGTCAAACAACGTAGCAGTAACCTAAGCTCAGCACAGACACAGTCCTTTTATTTGCCCAAATCTGACACTGGAACTCATTTCAATGGTTTCAATTCCTGCTACCAGATCCTTTTCCGATTTACTCAAAAATTGAACCCCCTCCAAAATCCCGTTTTGTGTCAACGGTTTAGGGGAGTGCAGATTAGGAGCCTTTTCACATTTGCAAATCAGAAACACCCTCCTCTCCTCAGAGGGCTTATTAGTCCTGGGTTACCAAAAGCACTGCAGGTTAAAGAATGGGAATGAAAATCTGTCTGAAGGCCGGTGCTGTAGCGTAGTGGGTAAAGCCACTGCCCGCAACACCAGCATCCCGTATGGGTGCCGGTTCAAGCCCCGGCTGCTCCACTTCCAATCCAGCTCTCTGTTATGGCCTGGGAAAGCAGTAGAGGATGGCCCAAGTGCTTGGGCCCTTTGCACCCACATGGCAGACCCAGAAGCTCCTGACTTTGAATCGGCTCAGCTCCAGCTGCTGTGGCCATCTGGGGAGTGAACCAGCGGACAGAAGACCTCCCTCTCTCTCTCTGCTTCTTCTCTCTGTATCACTATTTCAAATAAATAAATCTTACAAAAAAAAAAAGAAAGAAAAAGAAAATCTGTCTCAATGGGATACAGACTCAGCCACGCTCTGCGGGAAGCACCTTGGCCTAAGCAGTCTGGTCCTGTCCAGGCCAGGAGCCTGCTGGATGACCTCGCACAAGTAGCTGCCCCTCCTGGCCCTCAGCTGCTGTATGGAATGGGAGTTTCGGAAAAATCTTACTGCTTTTCTACCAACAGCTTTCTGTTCTTGTCCCCCGAAAAAAAAAAACCCTCAGATTCTATGCTAAGTTGTCCTTATCATCCAGGCATTGTGTCTGGTCACTCAGTAAGAATCAGGCTTCTGCAACGCTTTGTAGGCATCATCAGGACAAGGCCAGGGCTCTGCTCACCTCTGTACCCCCAGGACCCAGCCCCGTGAGTCTGAAACACATTAATCAAACACTTGTTGAACCAACAAGTCTGAGGACGCATTGTCTTCGAGACACTGCTCTTACACGATTCAGGCAGCTCCGTCTCAGAGACAAGGAACCTGGGGCTTGCAGACGGGGACAGGCCCCAAGCAGGAAGGCCGTGGGAACCAACCGTGCACACAGGCCTCCCATCCCCACTCTAGGTCTAAAAAAACCACGTGCTAACACCGCCCAGTCCTCCCACCCCACACTCCCAGGCTCGCTCCAAGTCCTAGAAATTGCCAATCACAGTCTTGGTAGGTGCAAATCTGAGATGGCTCTCCCTAAAGGGTGTTCCTCCGGGAGCGGCCATCATCCACTCCGCCGGAAGCATGTGAGACCGAAGAGGGGGCTCCTACGTCTGGGCGAATTCCGGGGCGGGTGCAGGGACGTGGAATGGCTGCAACGAGAACTCCCGAGGGGAGCTGCACCTGGGACTGACACTAGACCTGCCCGCAGGGAGGCCGGACCGGAAGCTGGAACGCTGCGAGAACGTGCAGGGCGCGGAGGATGGGGGTCGGAATCCCAGACACCCGCGAGGCCCGGGGGCAGATTTCGGCCCTGGAAGGCAGGCAAGGGCGAACGGAGCATGGTTAGGGCCGCCGATGGGTAAGCAGGCGCCACTGGCCAGGCCGGGACCACGCCGCGCGGGCGGTTACCTCCTGCACGCCGCCCTCGTGCTGCTGCGCCATGGCCAGCAACATGCCGTCGAACCGCTCCTCCTCCTGCTCCCCGCCCATCGCGCCGGCCCCGATCCACGCCCCGAGCTCCGCACTCGACTCCCGCGCTCTCCCGGTTCGCTCGGGTCGCTTTGGGCCCAACGGCTCCGGTCGTCCGCCTTCTGCAGCGGAGCCGGAAACACGCACGCGCCTTCTCTCCCTCTCCTCCCGCCTCCCTTCCGGCCCGCGACCATTGATCGCGCGGCAAACAGCCCGCTTCGCCGACCATTGGTCGGTTTGGAGAGCCAATCAACGAGCGCGAACGCGACGTGGTGGGCGGAGCTGAGGGGCCCGGGAGTTTGGCTTGAGTTGCTATGGTCACCAGATGCATTAGAGCTTTCTAGAAAGCAAGTCTGTTGGAATTGGAAGTTTAAAGGGGGCAAGCCTTGCGCGTCCACTTTGTTAATGAGACTCAGCTTGTAGGACAGTGAAACTCCAATTGTCTTTAGTCATCTCTTCGTAGCCTACAGTGCAGCAATGGCATCCCGGAGAGAAGGGACCTGACCCAAGGACAGCCTTCGAGGCTATCACCAGGAGCTACACCCGGCAGGGTCATGGGCATTTAAACTGCAGCCGCCCAGGGCCCCGTGTTTAGAAGAAATCCACGCTTGGCTTGAGATGTTTATGTTTTGTCTTTTGAGATTTTTAATTTTTTTTAATAAGGAGCCACACAGTTTCATTTTACACTGGGCCCAGCAAATGACATGAGCAGTGCTGTTGTTGACTTTAACTCCCGTGAGAGAGGGGGACAGGACCCAGCCGTCTAAAGCGAGCCTGAGTCTCTTCCTATTCCCCTTTTCAGGGATTCTAGTTTAGAAATTAACCTTTGAGGCCATCGCCGTGGTGTAGCGAGTAAAGCCGCCGCCTGCTGGGCTGGTATCCCATATGAACACGGGTTCAAGTCCCAGCTGCTCCACTTCCAATCCAGCTCTCTGCCGTGGCCTGGGAAAGCAGTGGAAGATGGCCCAAGTCCTTAGGCCCCTGCGTCCACGTGGGAGACCTGGAGGTGGCTCCTGGCTTCAGATTGGCACAGCTCCAACTGTTGCAGCCATTTGGGGAGTGAACTCTCAGATGGAAGACTCTCTCTCTCTCTCTCTCTCTCTGCCTCTCCTTCTCTCTCTATGTAACTCTGATTTTCAAATAAATAAATCTTAAAAAAAAAAAAAAAAAACTTATCCTTTTTAGTTCCTGCATCACAAATTTCTTTCCCTGGGATCTGTCTCTTCAGTTTACAACATGCTTAAAATAATTTATTTTTCACAATTCTGTGACCCTATTTTCCCCATCAACCCAATTTTCTTTTCTTTTTTAAGATGTCTTTATTTGAAAGAGTGACAGGGAGTGGGAGAGAGAGATCTTCCATCTGCTGATTCACTTACCATGTTCCCACAACAGCCCATGGGCTTGGCCAGACCACAGCCAGGAGCCTGGAATTCCATCTGCGTCTCCCAAGTGGGTGACGACTCTGGCAGTCCTCTGCTGCCTTCCCAGGCACATTAGCAGAAAGCTGGATTGGAAGTGCAGAACTTGACCCAGGCTTGTTGCTCGCTCTCTCACCCTGCCTCTCAAATAAATAATTGAAGAATGAAAAAACGGCCTTTGTCTGATATCATTGAATTTTACTACATAACTTACCAGTAAATATTGGTCAAATTATTGACTTCTGGAATAGCTGTTGTAGTGCAGTGGGTTAAGCCACTGTTTGGAATGCCCAAATCCCCTATCCAGTGCTGGTTGGTGTCCCAGCTACTCCACCTCCCATTTAGCTTCCTGCTGACAACTTGGGAAGGCAGCAGGTGATGTCTCAAATAGTTGAGTCCCAGGGCCAGCGCTGTGGCGCAATAGGTTAATGCCCTGGCCTGAGGCATCAGCATCCCATATGGGCACCAGTTTGAGACCTAGCTGCTCCACTTCCGATCCCGCTCTCTACTATGGCCTGGGAAAGCAGCAGAAGATGGCCCAAGTCCTTGGGCCCCTTCACCTGCATGGGAGACCCAGAAGAGGCTCCTGGCTTCGGCCAGTTGGGGAGTGAACCAGCAGATGGAAGACCCACCCCCACCCCCCGCCTCTCCTCTCTGTGTAACTCTGACTTTCAAATGGATAAATGCATCTTTAAAAATAAATAGTTGGGTCCCTGCCACCCATGTGGGAGTCCCAGATCAAGTCCTGGCTCCTGACTTCAGCCTGACCCACTCCCAGCATTCAGGGAGCAAACTAAGAGATTCAAGATTGCTGCTTCTTTCTGTGTCCCCCTCTCTCTATCACCCTGCCTTTCAAATAAATAAATAGCTGGATAAATCATTTTTTTAATTACGGACTTATTAGGTTTCAGTACTAAACACTTCATAAAATTTTGCACTTCACCCTTCCAATACCTCCTGTGCTATAAATGCTGTTTTTATCCTTATTTGAAGGAAAAGAAAACAAGGACAGGGAAATGAAGTCACATACTCAGAGTCTCTCCACTGAAAGAGTAGAGTTATTATTCAAATCCAAGTAGCCTATCCAGAATCCATACCTTACAGAGCTCTGCCTCCCTGAACTGGCATTCTGACTTCATTCAGCAGTCAGGCACTTGTTTGCTGTGACTGCTCCCCGAGAAATCAAGGCCTGATCTTGGATTCTGATGAATTCACCAGGATAATAAATGGTCCTGGTGACCAGTGAGTCTCCCCTAGCAACCTCTGATTCCATCTGCATTTGAACATTACCAACAGCAGGTAAGCAGGTGATTACAACACCGTGTGCTAAGAACTCTGTTAGGGGTGTGGAGTAGGCTGGTCAGGAATTATCCAGGCACACAAAGAAAGGGAGAGGCATCGCAGGCTGGTGGGAGAACACAGAGAAAACCTGGAGGCATGAAGGTATGTGTGATATATTCAGGGACCAAAGAGCTTCCCAGTGCCGTCTCCAACTCCCAGTTCCAGTTTTTCTTTCTTTCTTTTTCTTTCTTTCTTTCTTTCTTTCTTTCTTTCTTTCTTTCTTTCTTTCTTTCTTTCTTTCTCTCTCTCTCTCTCTGTCTCTCTCTGTCTCTCTCTCTCTCTCTCTTTCTTTCTTTCTTTTTTTAAGATTTACTTATTTGAGAGGCAGAGTTACAGACAGAGGCAGAGGAAGACAGAGAGAGGTCTTCCATCAGCTGGTTCACTCCCCAAATGGCCACAATAGCTGGAGCTGGGCGGATCCGAAGCCAGCAGCCGGGGGCTTCTTCCAGGACTCCCATGCGGGTGCAGGGGCTCAAGCACTTGAACCATCTTCTGCTGCTTTCCCAGGCCATAAGCAGAGAGCTGGCCCCCCAGTTCCAGTTCTTAATCCAGGCCTTGTGAGGCCCAGGCACTCCCAGCTGTCCCCTCCGTCAATCTAAGGCCTCCGTACGTAGGAGGAAGTACGTGTCTGTGGTCCAGGGAGTGGAAAGCATTTTCACAGAAGTTGTCTGATGAGCAGTTATTGCCGCTCTTGTGATAGCAGCAATTGTTGACCCTGCCTGGTGATGCTATCTTCGCTGTTGCACAGCGACTAGCTGAGATAATTGCTAGGAATGTCGTTTGCGAACCGTGCAGTGCTGTACAGTTGGAAGGGCACTGGCATGGACTTTTCCTCCCGGCGGCCACTGCTTTCGCATCACCCCCTACCCCTGATACTGATGGGGGCGCCCCGGGTCCCCTGTCAGATCTGGAGCTACAGAGAGCAGGGCTGTCTTCAGACAGGAACTCCTGAGGATTCACATGCGTTTGCTCCCAAGAGCAGGACTCACCTCCTCCATCAGCCTGTGGTCTCTGAGAGCTGACTTGTGTCGCTCCAATCTGATTTTGGGTACCCAGAGGCAGGGCCAGGCCAAGGCCCAGGCAGAGAGCTCCTGACAGACTGTCTTCCAGACAGAAACCCTCGCCTCGCAGCAAATGGTCCCAGTCGGGCTCAGGGCTGTAGAGACCCCAGCCAGGGCCCTTCTGCAGGCTCTAGGACTGACCACACACAGGACTCAGTTTCCAGGGGCAGGCGTTTGGCCTAGCGGTTAAGACAGGGCTCAGGACGCCTGCATCCCACGCGAGATATCTGGGCTCAATTCCCAACTCCGACTCCTGGTTCCATCTTCCTGCTCGTGTGGACTCTCAGAGGCAGCAGTGATGGCTAATGTAGTTGGGCTCTTGCCATCCACGTGGGAGACTGAGGACCTGCTGCTGGCTGGGGTTGCGGGTAAACCAGCAGATGGGAGCTTGCTCGCACACGCTCTCTCCCCCCTTCCTCGAAAAATAAAATAAAAATGTTTAAAAAGAAAGAAAACCCAATTTCCTACAGTGAAAAAATTCAACGCTGACAATGCGGGGACCTAGATTCCAGCGCAGACCTAGCTTCCAGGGGCCATCTCCCTTCTCTCTCTCTTCCTGCTCACTTCTTCCAGAAAATGAGGGTGAAGGCAACAGTAGCAGCCACAAAGCCACCTTTTATGGAGCACCTGTTGTGTGCAAGATACTTTGTATCCTAACGCACTGAGCCTCACTGAAGCCTGGAGGGGCAGGTTTTCTTTAAAAAAAAGAAAAAGATTTATTTTATTTATTTGAAAGAGTTACAGAGAGAGGTAGAGACAGAGAGAGAGGTCTTCCATCCACTGGCTCACTACCCAGATGACTGCAACAGCCAGAGCTGTGCCAGTCCGAAGCCAGGACCAGGACCTTCTTCTGGGTCTCCCATGCAAATGTAGGGGCTCAAGAACTTGGGCCATTTTCCACTGCCTTCTTAGACCATAGCAGAGAGCTGGATCTGAAGAGGAGCAGCCGAGACTTGAACCAGCACCCACATGGGATGTCAGCGCTGCAGGCCTGGACTTTAACTTGCTGTGCCACAGTGCCAACCCCAAAGGGCAGATTTTCTGTGGCGCTAACCCAGCCTGAAGTTCAGGGACCACACTTGCAAGGTTCATCCTAGGCACGGGGTGAGGCCCCAGCAATGTCTTTGGGGATCAAATACATATGTTTTTTGCGTTTTAATTTGCAAAAGTAAAGTTTCAAGCAGGGACAGTGCTGTGGTGCAGCAGGTTAAAGCCCTGGCCTGCAGTGCTGACATCCCATATGAGTGCTGGTTTGAATCCTGGCTGCTCCACTTCCAATCCAGCTCTCTGCTATGGCCTGGGAAAGCAGTAGAGAATGGCACAAG